TTCTCCCGTAAGACATGTACGGCCTGATGGTCAACTGGATAGCGCTCTGGCCTTTGATACCACAGGCTTCAGGTTCGAATCCTGGCGATGGCATGAATGTTAGTTAGTGTTTCGGAATCCAACGTTAAACTGTACGTTCCGGTCTAATTAGTCCAAAGTGTGCAAAAAAATGACCGTAGTGCGTCAAACCAAACCTCATGGACAACAATGACCCCCTTTCATCACCTGTTGATGTGTTATCTGCGATATACTTATGTGGAACAATACTTATGTGTTATGTGTACATATACAAAAACGATTAAAAAATATCTTCCAAACATTGAAAAATGAAATTGTAATAATTTTTTATACCGTAATAATTTTTTTAAAAGTTTCAATCATTAAAAATATATATGCAAGTATTTCTAAAGTCCAACTCATAATACAGTGGTATAATCCAGTGTAGCGTGTATAGTTTGGTCTGTCGCTCTACGGTCATTTTAAGCACACTTTAGGCTAGTTAGATCGGGACCTACAGTTTAACCTGAAGCCTATGGTACCGATTGGCCATCAGGCCGCGGTAGCTTGTATAGATAGGGTGAAGATTCAGTTTCGAAGGTATTTTTGTTTGTAATTGCTTCCTTTACTATGGAAGCTAAGAGATTCGATGGGAATTGTGATCTGGGTATAAGTGTCATTAGTCAATACTTGGGCTGTTTAGCGAGAATTATTGCAGGTTTTTCTCATAGCAAATAAGGGCCTTTATCCCTAAAAGTCCTCATGGACAGAGCGGCCTGATGATCAATCGACTAGTGCTCTGGCCTTTGGTATCACAGGCTTCAAATTCAAATGTTGGAAATGGCATGATGTTTGTTAGTGGTTCGAAATCCACCTTAAACTGTAACAAACCAAACCCTAAGACATGCAAATGCAGGGGAGTTAACTCGAAAATATTTCTCCTCGTTGTCCGTTGACGAACTGTTCGTGGCAAACATAAGTGGAACTGATATTCAACAAGAAAAGGGAAACATATTGTTCCTATTCGCACTCACCTCCATTTCCAGTAACGCAGCAAAATGTCATCCACGCAATTCCTAGCGTGAACACGGTTTTGTACATAGCTGCATAGATGACAAGTTCCAGAGTGCTTGGTGTGTATGCTTTGAACCAAGCGCCTGTGATGAATATGACGCAAGAACAGACTAAGCTGGCAAGACACCAACAAACGACTTGGAGAATCTGCAAGGAATAAAACACTTTAATGAATTACTTGAAATAATGACATAAAAAGGTGAAAACAAATAGAAATTTTTATAACAATATTGATTAATGTGATTTCAAATTCCCATACATGCAGATTCCACTAGATATTAATAAGGCATGATAATGCAGGTATATGAAAACCATTTATTATAATATACATAATCCTTTTCGCATTTGATAGTCAGTGCATTAAAAATTTCTTTATTATACTTTTTATTCTGACAAAAGTTAGTCGATTAGAGCAGCACGTACCATTATTATTAGTTCTTTAAAGAAAAGATAATGCCTTAAACGTGGGGTATCATGTTAGTTTTTGATTCGAGTAATATAATTTTAAAATTATTTAAGTATTCGATGACTGTTTAAATAATTTCGAAAGTATGTTATTCATCAAATTCTGAATTATTTCTCATAATTTTTTTTATTTGGAAAAACGATGCTTTACGAGCATTATGCAAGTATTGAAACTGTAAGCAATATACAATAAAACGGTAAGTAATATGCAATATTGTATTTTTTATTGTATATTACGTACAACTGTAAGTAATATACAATATGCAATACTGTATTTTTTATTGTATGTTACTTATAACTGTAGTATAAGTAATATACAAAAAATACAATACAAAACTCAAGGTCGATTTCAACGGATACAAAAATTTCCCGTTTAGTATGTCAGCCGGAAAGTTGATCTTCTAGTCACTCAGGCTTCCGATTGTCTGACGTTCTACGACGTAAGATTTTAGCATCCGGTGAAAACCTATCTTTACTTATACAATATTAATAATAGAATACTACTACTACTAATAATAAAACATTCATTATCATAACATGACAGAACATGAATTTTTAACGAAAGAACTAAACAATTTGAACGCTTATTGTTCTAAACAAACAAACAAACAAAAAAACAAAAAAAATGAAAAGAGAAATTTGTACATTTAAAGCTTTTAATAATAAATTTACTCTTTTGTTTTGTTAGCTTGGAGCAGGAAAAAAAATACATGTTCACATGTAGGATACTTCAAATAGAAGGACATAGATCTGTAGTGCCAGGCCAAAATCTTTTCAGATAAGATTTATTTCCCTAATTAGTTACTAACTTTGCAATTTCAAAGTTATTGCAAACAATTTTATTAAAAAAAAATGTTTATTGAAACATTGCAGTTGAAACAACAATGCTTAACCTATTTTAAACAGAACCGGTTCTGAAGGATACAAAATAAGAAATCTGATTATAAAATTTAATAATAATGAATTAATTTAATAATAGCCAAAATTTATTATTAATAATAATATAATTTTAAGAAGAATAAATTATAAATATTATATTTGAAACTTATTCATCTTTTTGATTTTTTATTATTTTTATGCTAGGTATTAGTGGGTAAGACAATTTTTAAATAATGCGAAAAAATAATATTAACACTACTCATTGTATAAAATTTAAATCATTAAATTTATGAAATAGAAAATTGTATTTATTATTTCAGTTTTGTGATTAGATCATGAACAAAAGAAAAAAAAAATACTTTTAAAGGCATATATATCAATTGCTAGTTTTTATAAAATTATTTGTACTTCAATATAAAACTTTAACTTTTTTTTATTTTAAATGAATCACCTTTTTCTTTGAAAATTATTCTGAAAAATCGTTTTACCTTTGGTATTTTCATATCTGGCTTCTTAATCAGCAAATAACCCGTAAGAATTCCTATGAAGTAAGGCGCCGTTCGTGACAATGTGTTGGCATAGGTGTAGAAGAAGAACATGCTCCTGTCTCTGAAATAAAAATAACAAACAATCCTTATAGTTACCGATGAAACGAAAAAAATGAAGAAAACATTTATTAATTAAACAAAAGCTATCATGAGCAAATATTTTCACTAATCTTAATCTAAATGTAAACATTATTTGAGGTTACATACAATCATGAGTTGGTGACTCTGACACTTGCTGTTCAAGACATACATTAATTATGAAGCAGACTTGCAAAGTAAATCTTAATTCAGAAAATGTCATTCCTTCCCATATTTGAAAATTTCTTCCAATTAATTTGCACATTAAAAATTAATATATCTTGGTGTTCATCAAAATTTCAGTAAAAAATTATTCCTCCACAAACTAAACGAGCTTTTATTCGAATATAATAGATATAACTTCAATGGGAGAGGAGAATAAACAGTTTTTTTTTCTTTCTTATCCCACTTGGTAAACAGCAACGTCCAAGAACCTGTGTGGTCTCATGGAAAGAGGAAAGGGGGCAGATTCTGTTGTGATGGAGCACCCGTAGGTAAAGGTTTGACTTGGCTCCGTCATTGATGAAGGTAGGTAGTGCCTTCCGGATGGACTTTTAGGGGGAACTACCCCCGCATTTGCCTAATGTATGTGAGAAAACCCGGAAAGCCCCTCTGTGCAAGCTAGCTCCGTACATTACCATTAAGCATGAGCTTAGATTTATTTTAATAAGGATTATTCTGTGTATAACTAAAAGGCAATATGAAATTTCAAATATATTTAAAATTGCATTAAAATGCTTCAATATTTAAATACAGGATTCATCTTTCGCTAGCATTACTACGTTTTCATAGGTCAGACAGAAATAGTCATCTGATCTTTATTTATAAGACATTCCTCAAATGATTACAGTTCGTTTTTAAGAATACATTTCAACAATCAAATCTACACCTCAGAAAGTACATATGAGTATACTGTTTTTTTTTTCTGCTGTTATCTTTCTTTATAAAAGAAATCAAAAAATAGATTTTTCTTAAGTTGTTCAACAACTCATGCATTTTTCAATAAGAAAATTTTTTCCTTTTTTTTTAAATCGTATTCAAATTTTTTTATGTGTTATAGGGATTTAACCATAAGGCCTTTCTGATTCATTATATGCATAACACAGAAAAAATAAATATTTATAATAATTGTTATAAAAAATTTACTTACTCTGGATCTGTGTACGCAACTGTTAGAGTAGGCATCAAATCGTGTGCATAAGTAATAGCACCACTGTAGATAATTGAAACAAGCACAATAAATATGATTGCTGCTATTCCAGTCTTCTCTGATCTATAAAGGATAACCCAATTTAAGAAAAGATCACTATAAAATAAAACATTTTATTTTTTCAGTCCTTTTTATTGTTTATTTATAATACTAAAATTAAAATAAAGAACTTTTCATATTAATTAAAATAATTTAAAATTAATCGTAAAATACCTATACCTTGTAAAGATTGTATTGGAAATTTTTGATTAATTTTAAATGATTTTAATTATTATGAGAAGTTAATATAATCCCAAAACCCTCCGAGCTGTCAAGGAAAAATTATGTAAGAATACTTATTATTTATAATTTTCCATTAATGCTAACAGCAGCATTTACGAATGTTATTTTTTCAAAATGCATTTCTTGACTTTCTAATTTTTCTGGCTAACTGAATTACTGACGATAAACAATAAATAAAACATAAAAAAAAAAAAATTAATAATGAAATAAAAACATCTTTTCCTTCCCCTTAAAAAAATTCTTTTCCTTTTACTTGATTTGGATAAAAAAAAAAAAAATACTTTAAAATGTTAATTTTTTTTTGTTTTGATTTCTTTTTACAAGAACCAGACACAGACTGCTTAAAAAAAAAAAAAAAAAAAAAAAAATAATAATAATAATTCTCATAAAAGATGTTCATGCTAACTCTAAAAGTGGATTCTAATTGTATAGATATATTTAGCCAAATGCAGAGTAGTTTTAAAATGCTGAATATACCGGTTCTCGTTAGATCACCGAAGTTAAGCATCATTGGGCTTACGTTCAGTATTTTTTTGGGTGGGTGACCACCTAAAAGCGGAAAACTGCGTGCCGTTGGCAAGTTTGATTAACCTGAATGGCCGTGAGTTTTAGCGCTATTAGGCGCTCGGTTTTTACTTTTAGGTTAACAAACAAACCATACAGGTGAAATGGATGTTTGTAGTGGTTCGGAATCCACTTTGAAAGAGCCTAGGTCCCGGTCTTCTATGACTGTATAAGAGCGTCACGGAGCAAAAGTCAGGCTTCTACCTACGGGTGCTCCATAACATACAGGTGCTTCCTTCCCCTTCAATCAAAACCATAAAAGAATTGGGCTCGTGGGCTTGGCCAGCCAAGTGGGATAAGAAACAACAACAACATAGATATATTTAACTATTGACTGCACCTATTAGATACTAATGATGTATAAAGAACGGCCCAATTTAAATGTTTTAATTCTCTGGTGAATTTTTAATTTTTTATATGTGTTTTATAAAGTTCCGATTTAGTTTATTTTTTTACTAAACATCTGATCTTCATTCACATACATGTATTTATAATAAAAAAAATTATTCCCATTTATCAGTGTTACTTTCTTTGGTGAATAATTAGCTGTTTCATGACCTTCAATTATCCTCAATTGATTGCAACCGACCACAGATTTTCCGAATGAATTTATTTCCTCTGAAAACCGAATGTTTAATGACCTTGTTTAGAAAATAGCAAATACATTGTATCAGTCCTGAAAATCTTCGTTGCGTTGTACAACGGTTGGATCTGACGATTAACAATACATAAAACATTTAAAAAAAAAAAAAAAACATTATATGATGACGGTGATATTATTTTGAGTATCATGATAATATTTTGTTTTAAAAAGGATTATTCTATAGAAAATGATCATTTTAAAATAATTAAAAATTATTTAATTATTAGATCCATTTACCTTATTAAAATTGATAACAGTATTAGAGAAATCAAAAACAGTTGCATATCACAGGAAACATACCAGGTGTGTACCATACACTGCAAAAAATAATAAAATAAATAACTAAAAGCATGTATACTACTGTGCCCAAAAAGTAAGACCAATTACTATGATTTTTTTTTCAAATACTCTATATTTCTTCTTCCAAATTTATTTCATCGCCTTCAAAGTAATTACCTCCGGACATAATGCACTTATGCCAACTTTTTTTCCAATCCTCAATACATACTAAAAGGTCATAGCCAGAGATGGCCTTCAAAGCGCGCGTCAATTCACGTTGAATCACTTCAATCGACTCAAAACGGTATCCCCGGAGTGGTCTTTTAAGTTTCGGGAATAGCCAGAAGTCGCACGGTGTGAATACAGTGGTTGTGGAAAGATATGGGTTTCATTTTTGGCGAAAAAGTCACGAAGAATAAATGCAGTATGAGCTGGCGCATTCAGTGTTTTCGGTGCCAATCGAGATCTGACGCGTTTGAGGCTCAAAATGGAATTGACCGATCCTTTTGAAATTCCAACATCATCAGCAAGGTCTCTAAATGTAAATCGGCGGTTTGCAAGCACCAAACCTTTAATTTTTTGGACGTGAGCTTCGTTGGTTAAGGTTGATGGTCGACCAGAGGGCATTTCTTTCCGATATAGGAATGCTCACCGAACACCTTCTGCAACATTCTATACGTTTCCGCAAACAAAATTGAATACAAGTTCTTTGCTCAATTAATTCGGACATTTCAAAATCGTCCGAATCAGTTTTAGTGTCTCACACAGCCAAGCGCAACTCAAACATTAATGAACATTTTGACGTGAAGTTTCAGGCAGATGTCAAAAACAGTGCCAAAAACCAAAAAAAAAAAAAAAAAAATTTGAAAATTCCATAAGCCCCAGGAATTTTCAATTTTCAATTGGTCTTACTTATTGGACGCAGAAGTAGTATTATTATGAAAATATTAAATTGTTCTTAACTATTTCATGTTAATGAAATTTTAAATTTTAAATTGTTCTATGATTAAGATGTTTTTGATTAGAATTCAGAAATAAGAAATAAATATTGTTATTATTTTTGTTAAAACCCCTTCTACAAATAACTTCAGTCCGATTTGGTCGCTTACCAATTTTCCACACAATGGGGTGTCTTATTGATTAAAATAAATTAATTAATAAATTTATTAAATTAAATAAATTAAATGAGATTTCATTAATTAATTAATTAATATTTAACTTTTCATCATCATCATAACTGGCTCGACAGCTCGTTGTGGGCCTTGACCTTCTGTAAAAGATCCAGTCAGGCTGTTCTCCTCTTGGCCGTGGATCTCCAGTTTTTGACCTTAATAACATTAAAATCAGAGTCTAAACAGTCGACCCATCTCTGTTTCGGTCTTCCCCTTGGTCGCTGTCCAAAAGGGGTTACATTGAAAACCTTCAAAGCAGCTCTATCACTTTCCATTCTCATGAGATGACAGGCCCATCTCATTCCGTTCAGCTTATCAAATTTTAGAATGTCAATATCTCTAAAAGGTTTGTGAAGGTTCAAAATTTTTTCTTTTTCGCCAATTTCCATTGTCATTGATACCACCAAAAATAGTCCGTAGCACTTTTCTTTCAAAGATTGCCAACATTTTCTCTGTTGTTGTTGTTGTTATCGTGTCCATGGATTGAAAATATAATTATCAAAGTTAGATCAAGTCAAAAGTCTTCAAGATAGCGGCTGCTAGCAATGGCGCCGCTTCACTGTACATGACTTCTCTTAAGTTGTCCTCGATTGGCACCATACCCAATTACAAAACATGGGGAGTGAGTGCTGGGCACTCTAGAATGTGCTTAGGTGTTAGGAAATCATGTTCTCTTCTATTGCTGAATAAGAATAACGATAGTTGAACAAATTTTGTCTATTTCACTGCAACTTGCAGTCTCTTGCTAAAGTGCCAGCAATTTAAAATATTCATTATATAAGTACTTACAATATATATACATGTTCTTATAATTTTAGATCATTTTTACCATAGATATTATTTTACAACGAATAAAACCAGATCAAATAGTTATTTATTAAAGCGCTTACCATATCTTTCAAATGGAAAAAATTATTGATAAAGAGTATATTTCTCCACCAGTATTGAAAGCAGGGGTTTATTGAATCTTCCATGGTATCTTGAAACAAGGGTCCTGAACCCATAAGCGGAACCAACGTGCCAAATAGAATTATAAAAGAGTACACTGGTACTATCCTGCAAGAAAAGATCTTAATTTTTAATTGTATTCAAGTATGTTTTATAAATTTATAATGTAGGTACATAATGCCATAAAGGAAAAATTAGAGAATATAGGAAAGATTTTATACACATTTATTAAATATATGAAAAAGACGTGGAACTGTTAGAAAGTACTTCTTGCTTGGAAACAAGTTATGTAAGAAAAATAGGTAAAATGTTATGCATGAAATATTTAAAAATGTAACGAAAAAGAAAATGTTCAGGCCAAATACATGATGAATTCTTCATGTATGGATAAATTTTTAAGTGGGAGTTTCTTCCAAAATAAAAGAACAACTCCCCCCTTCCCCTCACAATATATTCATTGTTTCGTTATTTTACTAAAGTTTGAAAGCGTATTTGTAATTTTAGAAAATTTTGGTGTCCGCATACAGTTTTTGCTATTACATTTTCTCATCTCAAATGCGTTGTCGTGGGTTGATGCAGTTGAAACAGAATAGAAGTAATTAACTTTAGAAGCCAAAATTATTTGTTGTTTAGCTGTGAGTTCGAAATCATATATCATTCCCTGATTTGCAACTTTTATCTTCTGCTTACATATTATACCATCAATACATTCTTTCTTTCATAACATCTATTTTCACTAGTAGTCTTCAAAGCCAGTGTAGCGTCTCGGCATATACTAGACCTAATAACGACTTCAAGAAGAGGAGTACTATCAGCTCATGGGAACAATTTAATTTTTATTTACAGGCATTATAGACTACTGTGTCCAAAAAGTAAGACCAGTTTTTAATATAAATTTCCCGGGCATATGGTATTTTAATTTTTTTTTCTTTTTTAGGTTATTGGCACTGTTTTTGAATCTGTGTGAATTTTTACGTCAAAATATTCATCAGTGTTTGAGTTATACTTGGTTTTGTGAGATACTAAAACTGATTCCGGCGATTTTTAAAATGTTTGAATTAATTGAGCAACAACTTGCGTTAAATTTTGTTTGAGTAAACGTATCGAATGTTGCAGAAGGCATTCAGTGAGCATTACTATATCGGAAAGAAATGTTTAGAAGTGGTAAAAACAGTTCAAAGAAGGCAGAGAATGCGCTGAAGATGAAGAGCCCTCTGGCCGACCACCAACCTCAACCGACGAAACTCACGTCCAAAAAATTAAGATTTGGTGCTTCCAAACCATCGATTTACAATTATAGACCTTTCTGATGATGTTGGAATTTCAAAATCCCATTTTAAAAGATGTTTAGGGCCTCAAACGCGTTAAATCTTGATTGGTACCGAAAAAACTGAATGCGCCAGCTCAAACTACATTGATTCTTTGCGACTTTTTCGCTAAAACTGAAACCCATATCGTTCCACATCCACCGTATTCACCTAATTTAGCATCGTGCTACTTCTGGCTATTCCCTAAACTCAAAAGACCACTCCTGGGACACAGTTTTGAGTCGATTGAAGAGACATTTCAAAAATCGCCGGAATCAGTTTTAGCATCTCACAAAACCAAACGTAACTCAAGCACCAATGAATATTTTGACGTAAAATTTCGCACAGATGTCAAGGACAGCGCTAAAAACCTAAAAGAAAAAAAAAAAAAAAAAAAAAAATTGAAATACCATATGTCCGGTCTTACATTTTGGACACAGTAGTATATAATATATATATATATACTACTGTGTCCAAAATGTAAGACCAGTTTTAATAGTATAATAACCAAGAGTTCTGTATATATATATATATACAGAACTCTTGGTTATTATACTATTTACAAAGAAATGAATATTAAAGGTATGAATTTGATTCACAAGTACAGTTCATTCCAAAATCCGAGATTTTCAGAGTTCTCGAGTCTACGACGAATGTAATG